GTGGTCAGTAGTACCTGATGGGGTCCACTCCACTTTTCTTTCAGCAGTTCCTCGTTCCAGTTCTTGATGTACACCTCGTCTCCTGGATGTATGTTATGAACCAGGTTCTCAAGAGTCAGGGGTCTATTCCACACGAGTATACTCCGGAGCCGAGTTAAAGTTTTCCTGAGAGACAGAACATAATTATACACTTCCTGCTTTCCTGTGATGTGTACATATGGGCTAGGCTCAGGGGATTCATGTGGTTTCCTGTACAATATCTCATAAGGACTGACTGACATCCCACTCCTAGGCTTTACCTGAATCCGCAGCAGTGCTATTGGCAAAGCCTGGGGCCACTGCAATTTGGCTTCTTGGCATAATTTACTGATTTGCCTTTTTAGTGTCTGATTCATCCTCTCTACCTGTCCACTTGACTGGGGTCTCCACGGTGTGTGGAGTTCCCAAGTTATCCCCAGCAATCTACTTACCTCTCTTACTATTGTAGCTATGAAATGGGGTCCCCTATCTGGGGTACCCCGAATCTGGGAATAATCTCCTGTAGTAACCACTTAACTGTTTCCTTTGCTTGTTTCGTGCGACAGGGAAGGACTTCTGGCCACCCAGAGAATGTGTCAACCCCCACTAACAGGTATTTGTATCCTCGAGTTCTTGGTAGTTCTACAAAATCTACCTGCCAATAGTCTCCTGGCTCTATTCCTATCCGAATTCTTCCTAGCTGTGCCTGTCACCTGGCCACTGGGTTGTTTTTCAAGCAGATAGCACATTTTGACATTACTGATTTTGCCGTTGTTAACATCCGTACTGAAATTAAACTCTGCTTTAGCAATTTTACCAATGCCTCTGCTCCCCAGTGACATTTGTTATGCTTAATTTGTAGACCTTCTCTCATTATCAAGGGGGGTACCACTATTTGTCCTTGTGCAGTCACATACCATCCCTCTGAATTCTTTTGTGCGTTTAGCAAACATGCCAGTCTCTCATCTTCTACTGGATATTTTGGTTTTGGAGGCAAATTGAATTGGGATACATTAAGCTTCAAAGGTATCATTGCCATCGTTGTTTGTACCTCTTGAGCAACCTGTTGGGCTGCCCAGTCTGCCGTTCGATTTCCCTCACAGATTTTGGAGTTTCCTGATTAGTGTGCTTTGTAGTGTATGATTGCCACTTGTTCAGGTTTTTGTACTGCCTTTATCAATTGCAGGACTGCATCCTGATGTTTAATGTGCATACCCCGAGAAGATAACAATCCTCTTTCTTTCCACAGTGCTCTGTGTACATGCACCACTCCAAAAGCATTTTTTGAGTCAGTCAGTCCAGATATTTACCTTTTCCCCTTCACTTAATTCTAGTGCCCTAGTTAGAGCAACCAGTTCTGCCTTCTGGGCAGATGTATTTGGTGGTAATGCCTTTGCCTCCACTACTGTATTGATTGTTGTTACCGCATATCCAGCGTATCTGGTTCCGTTTTCCACGAAGCTGCTCCCATCTGTAAACAGCTCCCACTCCAGCTGCTGCTCTAGTGGGACGTCTTTCAGGTCTTCTCTTGCTGAGTAGGTGTACTCTATTACTTCTACACAGTTGTGTTCTAATGGGCCTTCTTCAGTTGTGGTACCTAGGAACAAAGCTGGATTCAAAAGGTTAGTTGTTTTTACTGTGACATCATTCTGCTCAGTCAGGACTACCTGGAATTTCATCATCCTGCTGGGAAATAGCCAATGGCCCCCCTTTTGTTCTAAGACAGTGGTTACCATGTGTGGTACATAGACATCTATGTGCCTTCCCATAGTAAGTTTCCTGGCTTCTTGTATCAGGATCACAGTAGCTGCGACTGCCCACAGACATGGGGGCCACCCGGCACTTATGTTGTCGAGTTGTTTGGGAAAGTAGCCCACTGGCCTTTTCCAGCTTCCCAGACATTGGGTCAGGACTCCTAGTGCTAGGCGCAGCCTTTCATATACAAACAGCTGAAAATCTTTAGACAGATCGGGTAACCCTAGTGCTGGAGCAGTTGTCAGTGCTTCCTTCAATTTTAGGAAGGCTTCTTTCTGTGGTTTGCCCCAGGTGAGTGGCTGAGTCTTCTGAGCTTCATACAGGGGTTTCGCAATCAGTCAATAGTCCATGATCCACACCATCCTGCCATCCCCAGAAAGACTCGCAGCTCATGTAAATTCTGGGGCTCTGGAATAGCACAAATAGCTTGGATATGGTTAGTACCTAGTTTTCAGTGCCCTTGTGAAATTTAAATCTCAGTATTTACCTTTATACAGGTATACTTTTTCTTCTGTAGTTTTAGTACATCATCAACATACTGCAACACTAATTGGTCTCTTGTTACTTGCCCATTTTTGGTCCAAATCTCCAGTTCCTTTGCCAGTTAGCTTCCAAATAGGGTCGGCGAGTTCTTGTTGTGTCCAGGTGAGCTGGGTCTTTCTTCTGTTCCCTGGGTTTTTCCACTCAAAGACAAACAGTTTCCTACTTTCTTTGTCAAAGGGTATGCAAAGAAAGGCATATTTTGAATCAATTACAGTAAACCACTTATATATCTCCTTTACAGGCATTAGCAATGTGTGAGAATTTGTTACCACTGGATAAATTTCCTTTTTATTTATTGCTCTCAAATCCTGCACTAACCTATATTCTCCTATTTGGTTTCTTTACTGGAAATATTGGTGGATTAAATTCTATTGTATATTTGTGGCGAGTTCTTGAACCTGTTCCACAGGTTCAGTTAGTTATATTCTCCTAACACCATGGCTTTGGCAGCGTTTCCCTGCTGGAACTGAATGTCCTGGTGAAACAATTCTGGACAATCTTGCTTCCAATGTCCCATCCCTTTGCAATATGCACATTGATTCAGGCTTAACCTCTGGGTAACTGGTCTCCTACCCCTACCATTCCTTTTACGCCCCCTGAAATTTGGGTTCCCTTTCCCCCGTATTACTGCCAAAAGATTCTGCTGCTGCCTTTTACTAGCTTCTTTTCCCCGATTGTTATATACCTTCCAGGCTACCTCAAGTAGCTTATCCAAATTCCTTAATTCCTCTCCTTCTAATTTTTGCAATTTTCTATGAATGTCATCCTGTGATTGGCCCGAGAATATGAGAGCGAGCTGAACCTTTGCTTGTTCTGTATCCATTTGGAGGTCTGTATATTTCCTTGCTACCTCCTTAAGCCTCTCCAAAAACGCAGTGGGAGATTCCTTCTTTTCCTGTCGAACCTCATATAGTTTGGACCAATTTATAGTTTTAGACACAGCATTCTGAACTCCTATTTGGATCCACTCTTGATACTTCCCTAATTTCCTTATATCGCACAATAAATTAGGGTCCCAATTTGGATCCTCAATTGGGAAATTCACATCCACATTCCCTGTTACTAGCCCATTTCTAATATCTTCTCTTGCCCTCTCTTTTGGCTGCCTTAAGTACCATTTCTTTTTCAGTAGAATCCATCAGAGTATCTAATATTACTTGTATGTTATCCCAGTCAGGATTTTGAGTTTTCATAACCATTTTTACTACTTGTGCCATTTTATCAGGATTTTCTCTATAAGTTCCGGCTGACTGTTTCCAAATAACTAAGTCTGCAGGGAGAAAAGGCACTTTTGCAAATACTGGCCCTTCCACTCCGACTTCTTGTCGCAAGGGGGCAATCACAGTCCGTTTTTGTTTGCTTATGCCTTTCCTATCTACAACTGGGGCAAGCTTTGACTGACTCCGGGTTCTGTGGGCTATTGGGGTCCCTGATTCATTACCATTGCTATCTTTTTCACTTGCATACCTCTTTCTCCTTTCTATCACAGTTACGTTTTGCTCATCTTCCGAGGAAGAGGGATTGGGTGATGATGGGAGAGGAGGATAAAGAGGGAAAGGTGTACTAGACGAGACGGGTTCAGGACTAGTTGGGTGAGGAGCAGGCAGTGGGATAGGGACAGATGAAACAGGTGAAATAGGTGGGATAGAGTTAGGTTCTCTTGTTCCTATTGGAGCTACTTGTAAATCAGTATCTGTATAATTTTCCCTACTCAAGATTTCTTTTAACGCCAAGTGTTCTAAACAACGTTCCTCACAAACCCCACACTTTGCAGATGTTTTAACCACTAACAATCCACATTCATCCTGCCATTCGGGCTTTCCCCGTAAATAGAAAAACAGATCAACATATGGTACTTCATCCCATTTTCCTTCTTGTTTACAAAATGACATTAACTGCAAAATAGTGTTATATTGCAGAGTACCGTATTTTGGCCATTTTTCACTGTGCTCCAAGGCATATTCTGGCCACCATGAATTACAATAATCAATCAACGTAGTTTTACATAATTCTTCCCCAAAGTTATCCTGTTTCCAATGTGCTAATAAGCACCCCAAAGGAGAAATTTGCGGGATAGGGGTGTTACTGCCCAAAATCCCTTTAAGTTTCTCCATTTCAAATACACCACAAATGCTGAACCCGCAACGCTTTCACAATTGTCTTACAGAATGGCGCCTAGGCTTGTACCACCAGGAATTCCTTCAGCCCAACCAAGCATAGCTTTTGCTGCGTCTTATTTGGCAGGCATCCAAAACCAAACCAAAGTAAAAAAAAAGCACCTTACCTTTCTCCTGGGGACGTTTGTGAGCGGCGGAAGCGGTCGAGGCTGATGGGCTCCCCAAGAATCCCTCGGTGCCGGCTGGAGTGTGATCAAGTCGCGAACTCGCTCAGCAGCACTCACAGGGGTCCCATCTGGGGTCGCCAAAATGTTAGCATTCAAAAACACATAATCACGGAGGGATTATATGCAATGCTTTTTATTAAGAGCTCTGGGTGTCAGGGGTATATTCAACCCAAATCTGACTCCAACCATACATCCGAAATGATCATGTTTTTATACTTTGTCATTATATAACTTTCATGTTAATTATTAAACTTATATTGTTCTATTGTATACCTAAATTTAGCCCCCCTCTGAATTTCCAACATAGTTTCTCATTATTCTTCTTATGGTTATATAATAATTATATTTAATTACTAAAAAATCATCACATCTAACAATTATATAATTTATCATACTACTTATGCAGGTGCAGTTGATCTGGGAAAGCACAAAGCTTAACATTTTAGATTCTATCTTTAACTTTTTCCAGGGCTCCACTATCATCATGGAGTCTCTTCCACAAGAGGCAGTTCTCTGTGAACTTTTCCAATGTGATTCTAATTTTCACGAGTAGCAGCCCTGCCCAAATTTGCTGCAACATGAGTCACTTCCAAGGGCAAAGAAGTCTTTCCACAACTGTTTTTTCATGGACCATTTGGTTCATGGGGTTTTAAGGATAAGCTGTTCTAGTATAAAAGCAAAGATATTTTTCTTCTATCTCTGGAAGCAAAACTTCTCTCTCTCTTTCAAGTCTTTCACTAGATCACAGCTTCTCAGCATCCACACGTTCCAGGATGAGCACCTGTTTCTCACAGGCTGCAGGTGATTTCTGTATTCCCCCTACGCACTTAATGGATTACAAGGAAATAAATTTTTGTGTTATAGTCCTCACCACAGCTTGCAGGAGAGTTTCAGCTCTGAGGCCCAAAGCACCTCCTCCTCCTCCTCCCTCTTCTGCACCAACCTTAGTGTCGCCATGTTGTTCTCCTCGCATGTCTTCCCCTTTTGCTTTTCTTTGACTCAGGAGAGAATCAGTGTTCGTAAGTCTATTTGTTCTCAGGTTCTATCAATTGAAAAGTTTTATAGACCTCTGCAGCGTTGAAAGGTTGATCCCATCCAGGCTTCACACTGGGCAATTGCTTGCCATGCCCCTCACAGCTGATCACATGGCTCCCACTGGCACCACATGGGACGCACCAGCTGCCAGCTCTACTCAGTGCCTCTCTTCATGCAGTGCACCAAAAAGGGGGAAAAAAATCCACTGCCACCACTTCTGGCCATTCTGTTGGCAACATGGCTGGCTAAAAGCAGCTAAGCAAATAAAGTTCATTGCGAGCCACGCTGAGATAACCGCGCCACATGGTGTCACCCTGGCTGTGCCCATCTTGGCTGTGCTGTCCTGGCCACATGGCCAGCCCTGGACCAGGAAGACCCTGGCACCCACCCACCTCTCCAAGGAAGAAAAAGAGAGTTCCCAAGGTTTTGTCTTTCATAAATAAATTATCATAGAGGCATTACAAGCTTTTGTAACTGACTTAGCAGTGTGCCTATTCTCAGAGGGAGCCAGCAATTGGTTTTGCCTGGCATGGAGGAAGCTTTTAGCAGCTCCTCATATAAATATCACTTTCATGGCTGGCTTCTTCCCTCCTAACCAAAAATAAATCCATGCAAAACCAACACAGGCCACAAGAGAGAATTCCCCAGCTACTAAGATGATGTCAGACATGAAAGAATGGAGATATCAGTAAAAGCAAAACACAAAAGCATACTGACAGTGTTTACTTATCTGGAAGTGTCTATAATGCTGAATACACCAAGTAGTGATGTCTCCCAGAAACTAATTTTTTGCAGGAGTATTAGCAATTCTTACCTGATTTTAATCAACTGAGCTTCACTTGCCAACATTACTACATAGCCAAGGAATGCATGTATCCCAGTACAAATGCTCTCCTTGTCATGTGTCTTTGTTTACACAAATAATAGTTGTAACCAAATATTTTAAATCATGCAGTTGAAAATAATAACAATATGAAAACTTATATTATAAATCACATTATGTAACTTAGGACAAAGTTTTCAAAAACACATTAGTTCAACCCCACATGTGCTATTTGATAAAGAAAGTGCCTTTTTTATGCAAAAAATTGTTTGATACTCAGTATTCTAGTTATGTGAACTTTTAACTTGTCAGACTGTTGTAACATACTTGAATATTACAGTAATTTAATTAAAAGGTTGCCTGCAACAATATGCCTGACTAATATTTGAAGAACATTAAGTGTTGATTTCAATTAATAGTGAAGTATATCCAAAAACAAATAAATCCCTTCTGTGGCCAACAGGGCAAGTGTTCCCCAATAACAGTGACAGGGATACTGCAGAATAAGTTTGTTTACTTGATTTAAAAACAGCCTTGGAATTATAATGATGAGAGATAAAACATCTCTGTAAGTATTGTGTGGCACTTCA